AAGTAAAAACCACCGACACAACAAAATCACCAACATTACCAAAAAGCAACAGAAAAAAAAACACAAACACAGTGACTTTGTTTTTCAAGTAAAGTTCCATTCTTATATCAATGTTTTTTTTATTATTATTATTATTTTTTTTAATTTTCAATAAAGTGGCGTCGCGTGTGGGCCGCCATGTTGGTTGTTGTTGTTATTGTTCTGCTTTGATCCATGGAGAGGTGAAGAACGGAGGCTCGTGCATAGAGGAATGGTGCGTGGAGATAAAAAAATGATTTCTCTCTTTGTCTTTCTCTTTCTCTCTGTCTCTATCTCTTCTCTCTCTTCTTTCTCTCTTCAAAGGTTTCTTGACCTTTGATCCATGGAAAACTGGGAACGGAGAGAAGTGCAGAGATGGAGGAGAGACATGAAGACGAGAGAGAGAGAGAGAGAGAGAGAGAGAAAGAAGAGAAGGGGATCAAACATGCAGAATCTATGACCCAACTCCTATCAATGTCAGATGACACCAAATTAGGTAATAAAACGGAGATGGATCACTGCAGTGTGTGTGTGTGTGTGTGTGTGTGCGTGTGTGTGTGTGTGTGTGTGTGTGTGTGTGTGTGTGTGTGTGTGTGTGTGTGTGTGTGTGTGTGTGTGTGTGTGTGTTCTGGGTGCTAATATGTAACTATAATAAACTAATGGATACAAGGATCAACTTTTCTTCCTGCTTGCCTGCTTCTCTCTCAGCTACAAGAACAGAGGAAAACAGAGAAATAAACTGGATGGGAAGATAACAAAAAAAAATATGTAAGAGACCAACAGGAAAATCTTACGTTCATATAACTAAGATATCTTTATTATTACCCCCCCCATCCCTCCATTTATTATTTCTATTCTGTGCAACTCATCCTTTTAGCAGCATCTAATTACGTGCCAAACATATAAATTTTTCATAGGGGTTGCAAAAAAAAAAATAATAATAAAAAAAAAAAAATAAAAAAATATATATCAGGTGAGCTCCCTGGCCCGAGGACATGGAATGAGGTTTACGAGGTGGTTAAGTCCGCCCCAGTCCACCTGCGACCCCCAGCGCCCCTCAGACTTTAGCCTTACAAAAGTCCTCCAGGAAAAAGAAAACGATAGGGACCCTCGTCGTTGTTTTAGGTTCAGGTCTGAAGTTCTGAACCCCCACTACCGAACCCCTGAACCCCACCATCGAACCCCTGAACCCCACTACCGAACCCCTGAACCCTACCATCGAACCCCTGAACCCCACTACCGAACCCTTTTGTGTAAATACAGAACCATATTTGTTATATTTTTTTTATACTCTGTGATATTAACATTAGTAATGGGTTCTTAATTAATGTACAGTATACAAACTGTACAAAAATTCATCTGATCTTGGCAAAATATTTGTCTTTTAATTGAGCTATTCTTCGGCTTCCAATTACGAAGATAATTGATCGTGGGAACATTTGTAAACACGTGTCCAGAACTGTTACCTTGGAAACCGTGGTGGTGGTAGTGGTAGTCGTGGTGGTGGTAGTGGTAATGGTAATTAATGATATTAGTGGTGGTGGTGGTGGTGGTGAGGTGGTGGTGGTAATTAATTAGTGGTGGTGGTGGTGGTGGTGGTGGTAGTGGTGGTGGTTGGTGGTGTAGTGAGTGGTGGAGGTGGTGGTGGTGGTGGTGGTGGTGAGTGAGGTGAGGTGGTGGTGTGGTGGTGGTGTGGTGGTGGTGAGGTGGTGAGGTGGTGGTGTGGTGGTGGTGTGGTGGTGGTGAGGTGGTGGTGTGGTGGTGGTGTGGTGGTGGTGAGGTGGTGGTGTGGTGGTGGTGTGGTGGTGGTGGTGGAGGTGGTGGTGGTGGTGAGGTGGTGGTGGTGGTGGTGAGTGGTGGTGGGGTGAGGTGGTGGTGGTGGTGTGGTGGTGGTGGTGGTGTGGTGTGGTGGTGTTGGTGGTGAGGTGATGAGGCCAGGTGGTCAGTGTGGTGGTGGTGGTGGTGGTGGTGGTGGTGGTGGAGTGGTGGTGTGGTGGTGGTGTGGTGTGGTGGGTGGGGAGGTGAGTGGTGGTGGGGGTGGTGGTGGTGGTGGTGTTGGTGGTGGTGGTGATGGTGGGGTGATGGTGGTGGTGGTGGTGAATGGTGTGGTAGTGAAACCAGTGGTGGTAATTGATGTGGTGGTGGTGTTGGTGGTAGTGGTGGTGGTGTGGTGGTGGTGGTGGTGGGTGGTGGTGAGTGGTGAGGTGGTGGTGGTGGTGGTAGTGAATATTGGTGGTATTGGCTGGAGTCTCGGGTCTGTCTATCGATAATTATTTTCACCAATTAATATTTTCCAACATCCACACATAATTTTCCTTTAACATAAGACACGATGGACTGTAACCCACAAGACGGGGGGTTATTTATATAATTTTACCTACAAAAACATATATGTCCTAGTTTAGGTTTATGTCACTGAAATATTTTAACGAAATATATACTTTAAGGACTATAGGAACTTTTTAAAAGACTTGAAAGACAGTACCCGATATTCTTGGCACGGCCTCTCCGTCCTGTGTCGAAATAAACAAGTCAAGACTCTATTTTTGGCTTGTGTTCGAATTTTGGCTTTGTCTTCGGATTCAATGCCCTCTCTCTCCAGAGTCTTCAGTTCCACTTCCATGAGCAATACATTAGTAAGGCAAATTTTTGGCCAGTGTTCGATTGGTGGCTCTGTCTTCAACTCCATCGTCCTCACCTTCACCCCCCCTCTTGAGGCTTTCGTCCCACCTGAATCCACGAGAGATTAGTAAGGCAAATCAGCTGTCAATGAACTCGGACGAGGTCAGGACGCCTGCATTTAGTAAACATTTTCCAATAATTTATACTCCACTAACAGCGGGTACCATAAATTCTTCTTAAAAACACATATCACGTGTAATACTTTGTTATTAACCGTATGATATAACAGTAATAGAGGAAGAAAGAAGAATATATATTTTGGTGTAGCACAATAAACAAAACACAAGGAGGCTACCTGATAAAAATTTAATGTTCTTTACGCCAGGCTCGAGGCGGCTCCAACATACTGATAATATCGTATAAATGTATTCTGTAAATTGCTCGACTCCATTAATATTATGTGCTCGAGGGGAGACAATAACACCGGAGTGGTCAGCATTAATCATCTTTCTCTTCTCTATTTCCTCCTCCTGCTTCTATTTCTCTTTATTCCGTTTCTCCTCTCTCTCCTCCAATTCCCTCTTCTTCTCTCTTCTCATCCTCAACTCCTTTTCATTGCCTTGCTTCTTTCAGCCTCTTCGGTTTTACTTCTTCCTTCCTTCCTTCGCCTCTCATCTACCTCCTCCTCCTTCCTCCCACACACCTTCTCCTCCTCTCCCCATGTCTTTCTCCCTCTCTCCCTCACCCCCTCCCCTACTTCAACTCTTTCTCCTCCTACCTCTACCTCCTTCCTTCCAGCATTTCCCTGCATCACACCCTTTCTCTTGTGCTAGTTATTTATTTTTCCCTCCTTCCTCCCCTTCCCCATCCCCCTCCCCAGTATGCAGTATGCAAATCAGCTCACACCAGGGCACTTCCGGCTCGACAATGTTGATCGGGAATATTGAATAGCAATTGGCTAGGTTATTCCAATATGGCGTCGCTCCTATTGGTCCGTCAACGTCGTCAGCCTCCATCCTAGTGGTCCGTTAGCGTTAGTCAGCCACGCTCCTATTGGTTCGTTAACGCCGTCAGTCACACTCCTATTGGTTCCTTCACGCCGTCAGCCACGCTGCTATTGGTTCCCTTACACCATCAGCCACACTCCTATTGGTCGTCAATGTCGTCATCCTCATTCTTATTGGCCTGTCATGGTCAGTGTCGTCACCCTTCTTCCTATTGGTCAGTCAATTGGCCCTCCTACTCGAGCAGATTGGATCAGGAGTGTAAATCAGGAGTGTTAATCAGGAGTGTGGATCACCAGGAAGTGTAAGTGAAGTGGATCAGGAGTTAGGTAATGCATCAGTGGTGACGGCCATCTTTAATGTTTACATCTGTCAACCCATGATGACGTGACCTCAAGACGATAGTGACACACACACACACACACACACACACACACACACACACACACATAAGAATTAATGCAAATACCCATTAACCACAAAACAGTCTATTTTATAACATTAATATTTTATAATATTTATTCCTACATCATAAAAGAACATTAACGTTTCCGGATGAAAGTAATATAAATAGAGATAAAATAGTCATTAACCATTAACCTAGATACAACAACTTAGACACACACTCTCATAAAAAAAAAATCTTACATAAATAAAAAAAAAAACAATAGTACCATCTTTTATCTACAGTATTGTCTATTTTAACATATCCATTGTTAAAAAATATATATAATATAATGTAAAAATATAAGAGAACTTATTAAAAATACTTGAGTGACAAAATGAAAACAGCGACTCGACCACAAGTTAATAATGTTGGAATTAGTGAGACAATGTCAACAAGAGCGACGCCGTGGAGGTAAATTAAACTCTACGGAAACTCCAAAATTGGTCATATTTCTATTTAGTTTATTTATTTTTTCATATATCTTCTTATAATTATGTATATTAATCATACCAGTATATTATTGATCGATTTATCTATATATTTACGTATTTACTTACTTGCGTGTATATTTATTCATGTATTTATCCTTTAATAGATTCATTTGTTTCCCCGTCACCGCTGCCACAACACCCCGGGAGGTATATTACACTCTACGGAAAATTCCCACAATTTTTCATTAACTCGACCCCCTCCTCCCCTAAAGTCACTTCAGGCCATTAAATATTTACTAATATATTGTTTTCTTCATTTATCTATATATTTTCATTCATTTATTTTTTCAACTGTACGTACACCTATACTGATTTTAGTCATTTGTTTATGGACTTCCAGAGCGAGTTATTCCCTATGGAAGTAATTGAAGTTCATTATCTACCTGTGGAGAGAGAGAGAGAGAGAGAGACTCTTACCTGAGGCGTGGTAGTTGTCGACATAGGAGACCATCCTGAGTCTGACCTTGATAGTGACGTTGGTGGCCAGCTGGTGAGGTCCCAGGGTCAACCTACACTCAGCCACCATACTACCACCTGCCGCCTCAACCTGCCGGAGACACAGACGATGAGGCAGACGAAGAGAAAGGCAGTAAAAATAAAAACAATGAACAAGATTACACGAGAAGCATTACAAACTGACCAATACCCATCTTTCACAGTTTCCCCTGTAGAAAACGAGAAGAGCAGAGGGGGAGCTCACACAGACACACATAAAAAATCAATTCTCTATTAATACAAGACAAGTGACTCCCAACCTCTCTAACCTTTGATGACGGGGCTATTGATGGTGTTGTTGTGACCAAGATGTTTATACTGGTGGTGGTCTTTTGTGAGAATGTTTTGGTGTGTATGAAAGAGGTCAGGTCAAACTACAGTACAGAGACAGTAGAAGGGGAAGAATTGTTGCAGGGAACGAAATCTAGGAACTCTCTCTCTCTCTCTCTCTCCCACACACACACACACAATCAACCCGTCAACCCACACAGTAAACTCAATATCCGCCCCCTTCCACCCACCTCCTACCCACCCACCCTCCGCTCCTGACTCTCTCCAGTACTCCACCCACCTCCCCCACTACTCCACACCCCCTCCCGACCCCCCACCACCTCCTTCCTCCATATCACCAAGTTATAATTTTCCTCTGACCCTTCATGTTATTATCTCTCTCTCTCTCCAGCACTACACATCAACAACCATTTCACCGGATAGTAAAATAGCTCTGTTATCAATTAAGTGAATACACAACCTCAGGCCAAAGCTACTGTTGTAGGTTTCTTTAATATTCTCTCTCCCATTCTGTATATCTCATCCTATCTTTCAAGTTAACACTCTCTCAAGCTATCTTTCAGTTTCCTCCTCTCATTCTCTCTTCTCATTTTCCCTTTCTTTCATTCTTTCTTTCTTTCTTTCCCTATATTCTCTCATTTAATCAGTTCTGTAACCCGGGACAACAGCTTCATTACAGACGGCAAACACAGCTGTGGAGGTGGTGGGGGGGGGTCAGGTGAAGTAGGTAACTGCCTGAGAGGAGAGAGGGACGCATTGGTAATATGGAGGAGCCGTGAAAGAGAGAGGTGGCAGAGAATGGGAAGGAGAGAGGGTGGAAGCGAGAGTAGGGAGCAGATACCCTGGGGTGAGAGAGAGAGAGAGAAGGTCCCTCGGGGGAGGAGATTCCACGTGAGGGAAAAATTAATCAAATTCCATTAGTAGACAATTTAAAAAAAAAATTGTTGGAGAGAACTGAGGGAAGAACTGACCCCTGTACCCTGTGTGGGGGAGAAGTGACCCCTGTACCCCTGTGTGTGTGGGGGGAGAGCTGACCCCTGTACCTGTGGGGGAGAACTGGACCCCTGTACCCTGTGGTGGGGAGAACTGACCCCACCCTGTGTGTGGGGGAGAGCTGACCCCTGTACCCTGTGTGGGGAGAACTGACCCCTGTACCCTGTGTGTGGGGGAGAACTGACCCCTGCCCTGTGGGGGAGAATACCCCTGTACCCTGTGTGTGGGGAGGAACTGACCCCCTGTACCCCTGTGTGGGGGGAGAACTGACCCCCTGTACCCTGTGTGGGGAGAACTGGACCCCTGTACCCTGTGTGTGGGGAGAACTGACCCTGTACCCTGTGTGGGGGGAGAGCTGACCCTGTACCCTGTGTGTGGGGGAGAACTGGACCCCTGTACCCTGTGGGGAGAACTGGACCCCCAGCCCTGGGGGGGAGAACTGACCCCTGTACCCTGTGTGGGGGAGAACTGACCCCTGTACCCTGTGTGGGAGAATGACCCCGTGGGGGGAGACTGACCACCTACCCCTGTGTGGGGAGAACTGACCCCTGTGCCCTGTGTGGGGGAGAACTGACCCCTGTTTGCGTGTGTGTGGGGAACTGACCCTGTACCCGTGTGTGGGGGAGAACTGACCCCCTGTACCCTGTGTGTGGGGGGAGAACTGACCACCTGTGCCCTGTGGGGGAGAACTGGACCATCTGCACCCTGTGTGTGTGGGGGAGAACTGACCCCTGTACCCTGTGTGGAACTGACCCCTGTACCCTGTGTGTGGGGGAGAAGCACTGTACCCTGTGTGTGTGGGGGGAGAACTGACCCCTGTACCCTGTGTGTGGGAGAGCTGACCCCCTGTACCTGTGTGTGTGGGGGAGAACTGACCACCTGTACCCCTGTGTGTGGGGGGAGAACTGACCCTGTGTGTGGGGGGAGCTGACTCTGCACCCTGTGTGTGTGGGGAGAACTGACCCCTGTACCCTGTGGAGAACTGACCCTGTACCCTGTGTGTGGGGGAGAACACCACCTGTACCCTGTGTGTGGGGGAGAACTGACCCCTGTACCCTGTGTGTGGGGAGAACTGACCTCTGCACCCTGTGTGTGGGGGGAGAACTGACCCCCACCCTGTGTGTGGGGAACTGACCCCCTGTACCCTGTGTGTGGGGGGGAGGCACCCTGTACCCTGTGTGTGGGGAGGGGCTGCCCCTGTGTGTGTGTGGGGAGGCTGACCCCTGTCCCTGTGTGGGGGCCCTTGCACTGTGTGGGGAGGGCTGACCCCTGTACCCCTGTGTGGGGAGAACTGACCTGTACCCTGTGTGTGTGGGGAAGACTGCCCCCTGTGTGCCCTGTGTGTGTGGGGGGCTGACCCCTGTACCCTGTGTGTGGGGGAGAGACTGACCCCCTGTGCCTCCTGTGGGGGAGGACTGACCCCTGTGCCCTGTGTGTGGGGAGAACTGACCCCCTGTACCCTGTGTGGGGGAGAACTGACCCCCTGTACCCTGTGTGTGGGGGGAGGGCGGCCCCCTGGCCCCTGTGTGTGGGGAGGCCACCTGTATCCCTGTGGGGAGACTGACCACCTGTACCCTGTGTGTGGGGGAGACGGCCCCCTGTCCCTGTGTGTGGGGAGGACGGCCCCCCTTGCCCCTGTGTGGGAGGCGGCCCCCTGTGCCTGTGTGGGGGAGGGCAACCCCTGTACTCTGTGTGTGGGGGAGGCCCCTGTGCCTGTGTGTGGGGAGACTGACCCCTGTACCCGTGTGTGGGGGGAGCCCCCTGTACCTGTGTGGGGAGGCTGCCCCTGTACCCTGTGTGGGGAGACTGACCCCCTGTACCCTGTGTGTGGGGGGAGCTGACCCCCTGTACCCTGTGTGTGGGGAGGGCAGCCACCTGTACCCTGTGTGTGGGGAGACTGCCCCTGTACCCTGTGTGGGGGAGAACTTATCCCCTGTGTGTGGGGGAAGACTGACCACCTGTACCCTGTGTGGGGAGACCTTCTTGCCTGTGTGTGGGGAGACTGACCCGCCCTTGCCCTGTGTGGGGGGAGAACTGACCACCTGTACCCTGTGTGTGGGGGGGTTGTTGAGGACTGTGTGTACTGAAGGCTTTACATAACACGTTTTTGTTATGTACTCAGATATATATTTTTTAATTCCATAAAGTCTTAGCGTATCATTACTTAAGTATGTACAGTACAGTATAGTATAATTAGTATATTTAATAATGATATGTCACTTAATTCGCTCCCTTTTTGTTACCATGTGAATAGATAAATAACACTAACGATTATATTTGTGAGATGCGTTAGCAGCTCTATGCCCGTTTGTCTTACTGACTGACTGACTGATAATATTTAGTCCTTGTGAGGGAGTAGTTTGTTGTTCTAGCAAAAATTTCTAACCGCTTTCTATTTTGAGTATGGCTGGAACAGACAGACACACTCATAGACAGACAGACAGATAGAGACAGACAGATAGACAGACAGATAGAGACAGACAGATAGACAAACACGTCCTTTTGTTATTATTGATTAGGTGACTTTACATAAATATTGATTACAAATATATTGTCTCCTGTGAGCATATTGAGAGAGAGAGAGATAGTTGATGTCTATGCACCATACACACACATATACTTACATACAAACATACATACATACAAACCTACATACATACATACATACAAACATACATACAATAAAGACAGTCTCGACTCGATCCCATACACCACACCCAGCCATTCAACATATATATAATCCACAACGAATTACCAAGTGTCTGTGGTGGACCCGGCCAGCTAATTGTACACCTATGTTAATTCGGTTGGGTTATTTTGGCGGCATTAATTAAAACATTACCACACCTTACTGCATCACAAGAGGTTTTTTATTCCCACCTGCCGCCGCGCCACCCAAGAAACTAAAGTGATTCTCTCTCTCTTTCTCTCTCTTCTTTATCCTTGTCTCTTTTCTTTATCTCTCTCTTTCTTCTCTATCTTTCCTTTATCTCCTTACGTATGTCTTTGTCTGTTTATTATTATCTAATTATCTCTTTTTCTCCTTTATTTCTTTATCTCTATTTTCTTTTCACTCTCTCCCTTCTCTTTTCCCTTCTCTCTCTCTCTCTTTCTCTCTGTATAATTATCTCTCTTTCTCTTTGTCTCTCTTTAGCTTTTTGTTTGTCTCTGTCTCACCGTTTCTCTTTGTGTCTCTCTCAGTATCTCACTGTTAGTCTCTGTGTCAGTCTCTCTATTTCTCTCTTTCTGTCTGTCAAACTTTTTCCCTCTGAGAAAAAAGAAAGAGAGAGAGAGAGAGAGAGAGAGAGAGAGAGAGAGAGAGAGAGAGAGAGAGAGAGAGAGAGAGAATTGATAGATAAATCGATAGACAGGTAGATAGATTGAATTGACAGATAGATAGACAGATAAAAGGAAGTAATTAGACCTTAAATAAAAACTTACCATAATAAACATAGACTGCTTTAGTGAAGTATTCTTGTGTTGCTTTAATTAAATGACTAGTGAACAATAACAACCAAACAATAACAATGAACAATAACAACCCAACTACACAACAAATACAATAATAAATCGATTCGTCAGGAAATAAACTAATGTATTCTCAATCAACAAAAAGATCAATTAATACAATCATCTTTAATTAGAAAAAATAATAATAAATTAACGTAATTAAATTTAGGTTCGTTGTGCAGAGGAAGTCAATTTGGGGATTCCTGTTGAGTCTAATTGGTTGACGTCACGGTAATGGGTTGTGACGTCACCGTAATG